CTATTATATAATTAATAAGAAACTATTAAAGCCGTTTAACGCTTAGCTAAAGTAAAAGGGAATAATTATAAGGTAGTTAAGAAACCTTACCTACTTATAACACGATTAATAATATTACGTGGAATAAAGGCTTTAAGACTATATCCCTTATATCTCGTATAACTAGAAAATAGGATAAGCTTTAATTATTATAATACAGCTACCCCTACCTTAGCTACCTAACTTCTAGTCCCTCTTATAATCTCACACAATTGACTTCACCGTAAATCCTACGGCGTTTTAGGCACGCTTATGCTATGGTGAAGTGGACTGGTACAAGCGTGCTTTGAAATGGCCCAGTGAAGCTGACTATTATTACTGAAAATAATGCTCACTGAGGTTTAAACGCAACACTTGACAGCGACTTTCTATGCCATCAAAAATGCAGGTATTATCGACGGGAACATATTGCTTTGTGATGAGTTTAATCATCTCCTGGGAAACCATGCCTCCAGTAACTGCAGCCGTATTATGTACTTCCCCCCGGTTCGACCGTATTACTTCTTGAGATATCTGCAAAAGCCTGTTGTTTCCCGAAAGGCTCGGAATTGAGCTTGTGACAAAATCCACAATCTCTTCAGCACTGTCCGCGGAGATAAGAGTGGAAGCACGAAGCGCAAGATATATGGAAATCAACGAAAGGGGCAATTCAGGACCTGCTACTGCGGAAAGCTCATCGTTCAAGAGCTCATGTTCTATGTATCAAATGATGTTGTCAGCACAAAACAAGCACACCAGTAGTCAGTCCTGCCGTCCTCTGCTCGCACATACCGACGATTTTGGTGATAGTTGGTGCATCCACCGAGCTTTGGACTAGCTTGATGAATTTCGCATTCTTGCAAAACAACTCTACCTCAGCCTGCGCAACACCCATACCGCCTTCTAGGGTACGAATAGTACTCATTACTTCGCTGACATCTTGCAGTGCTTTCGCCTTATATAGAGACTGAAGTTTGATGTATACTGCAGATTCAGCCTTCATATCGGGTATGCCTCCAGAAAGTGGAAGTTGATGGTGCTTTTCGTAGAATTGTTCAACGGCTTTGGCAATGATCCAGAAGCTGTCACTTGACGAAATCTAGTACGATATTTCAGATTGGGAGACAGCAACACGGGTACGACAGACTTACCTCTGTTGAATTGCTATAATCAAAAACTTGTTTCAGGGAAGATGGTAGTGAAGATGTTGTAACGTGTTTCATCACTGCTGCAACAGCCTCTTGGAAATTTTCTTCTCCCCCCTCAGGATTATTACGCCTGGCGCCATTGGCCACCAAATTTCGGAATGCCAGCTTATCAGAATATGTCAGTGGTGGATCGCCTCGGTGTGCATCTTTCCATTCTTCAAGGCAATGAAGAAGAATAGCAACCATGGGTAAGTGGCCATGATCATGATCGATTTGGTCACCAATGTCCTCGGTTAATTGGCTCGCAAACATAGACAGCTCTGGCCACGGGTCTAGCAATCTCAAGTCCGCCGTCGCATCTTCATCTGGGTGAGTATCTACAATAGGGAGATGCGCTGGTAGCTTAAGCGTGAAGTATGAATAGTAACCAACGCTATGAACACTCAAGATTGGGATCTTTTGCCGCTCAGCATACGACTCGAGGAAGCAAACCATGTCCTTATGAAGAGGTGAGGTATAGAGAATGATGGTGAATGGTTCCGACGAGGCTGTTAGCTTCTCAAGGTCGAAAGGATCCTGGTCATAGATAGTCAGCACCGAAACATCGAAGCGTGGTGTTCTACAGTAGGAGACGGGGAAGCTAGACGCTACGAACATCTTCTTCTGGAAAGCAATGGCCTGAAACTTCGGAGTTGAGCTCAACAAGATATTCGGCGCAACAAAGAGCTCGAGACTTGCCTAAGCAAGCTTCATCGAGGAAAAAATTGACACCGAGGTCTGCTTCTTGAACAATGGCATCATCGGCTATAGTAAATTTTCCAATGCCTAGATGTTGATTATCTGTTAATGAACTAATCGAACCCCTCAAGCTACGGGATGTACAAACCGGGTAAAACCAAATTTTTGAGTGCCTCGATGCCAACCGTTCCAGGGCCACTGTTGACAAGGAGGACGTTTGCAGACTCTAGGGCAGCTTGGCCAGAGGCAGCCCAGAGCCGAAGCTGGCGGTCATACTTTCTTTCCTTATTTGTCGGACCGTGTTGAACCACTCTAATTACGCTGCCCTCTTGAGACATGATGTCACGATGGTATCACAATGCAGCGTTTGACGCGTGCGCAGTTGGGTCTAGGTAGGTAGTTGAAGAGCACTTGGCCACAAAACCCCGGCAGCCACAGTAATCTGGACGAGCACACACTGTGGGTCGCCGACTCTGTGCACCGAGTACCTTCTACCTACTATAGCACGCTAAGGGGTTTTCTGGTAATTATTCTTTAATTATTATTTATTATAAGATAATTAAATAGAATTTTTTACTTAATATATAAGACTTTTATTAATTAATAATAATTTAAGACTTATCTTATAATAGTTATACTATTACTAGAAATAGGGGCCGCGCGCGTAGGTATTTAGGTATTTACTTAAGTTACAAGTACTATAACGCGTTAAGTGTTT